TCTGAAGCTGGAATTTATGCCACTTGGTCTCACCAAGACCAGGCAGGATTATTCCACCGTCGTTAGTTAAGAATTGAGAAGAAATCAATACGATGAGAGAGAGAGAAGAAATGGAAATCTCTCCAAAAGAAATTCTCTTTATCTTTTTCCTATTTTGTTTTTGTTGATTTCCTCCCCAGAAATTTTATTTCTGGTGATGTAGTTATGCATTTAGGATCAGCTGTGAAATTTGCTATTTGAGAATAATTGGAATGGTCCAGTTAAAAGACAAATCGTATTTTCAAACTATAGGTTTTGGAAAGATGATTGTAATGTTCAGTCATCTCTCTCCTACAAAGACTTTGTTAAAAATGATGTGATAAATCTAGAAGTTTCTCATCAGAACAAAAGACAAGAATTGAAAAGATTTCATTACCTTCTTTTAATTTAATATTTAGTGCTATTAACTATAGTAGAATGCTTTTAAATGTTACGGTTTTTAGCTCCAGTTGATTCACAGTTTTTAAATAAAACTATGGTAATTAAAGAAGCAAAGGCTAATATTTTGTCAGGTTTCCTTTTCCCGCATGCAGATCGATCCAGAGTGTGTAGGACATCTATTTAAAGAGGCTGATTCACTTAATGATGGCGAACTGTTAGGGCACATTGTGCTGTTTCCCAGTTACACTGCAAGTTTCTCTCTTTTGGATATTGGGTGCCTGTCACACTGGATCATCTGTGTTTTAAATGGAAATGTTAGGACTATGATGACTTTGGGGAATTATGAAGGAAAAGAGGTAGATGTCAAAAAAATGTAAAATAGAGTTCTTCTTTATGCCTATGGGTCTTAGGCTTTGTTCTTACGTAAAGTGGTCAGAATGTGTAGGAGAGGTGAATTGAACACATTGTCTTTCTTGAACTGAGTATACCTGAGATTGTGTTCTCTTTAGTCTATAGTTTGTGTGTTGGTTAAGATGGCTTTTCTTTTGTGTCACTTTTGGGTGATTTCCATTTCATGATCAGATAGGTTTTTCTGCTGGAGAAGTTAGTCTGCGTAGCTTAACTCAGTGTGGTGAGGTGCAGAGTAGCCTGTGTCTTCCTGAATGGATTTACTCTGCCATATGGCAGGTTAGTGAGTCGCCACGACAGATTTGTAATGGGAAAAGGGCTGTGCAGGAAAGGATGTGCGTGATCAGCAGATTTATAGATCAGAAAATGAAATCGGAAGAGAGAATTTCCAGAGTGCCCTTTCTGTTTGACAGCTCTCCCTGGAGAGTGTGTGGAATGGTTTTTTAGTGTTCTTCTATTTTGGCTTTTGGTTGTTCCAGCATATTTTTTCTAGCACAGGAATTGATTTTGTAAGGCATCATGTTCTGGGTGTTGTGTTGCTATATTCCTGTTCACAGAAATATTCTCTCTCTGTAGGATTTGAAGCTGTGCTGTGTTTCATTTAAGATCTCAGTAGCAATTAAATTCCTGAAGACACATCAAGGCTCCTATTGGCTAAAATGAGGATTTGCCGGGTTTTAAGTGAGAAGAAGAGGCTATTCAGATATGATTCACTGAGTACTGAATCCTTTGAAGGAAAGAAAATGAAAAACCAAGTGAGCTAAAGATACTGTGTCCTAGTGTGTTTATTTAAGTCTGTGCTATCTAATACTGCAGCCACTAGCCACATGTGGTGACTTAAATTAATTAAAACTAAATAAAATTAAAAGTTCAGTCCCTTAGTCTCACTAGCCGCATTTCACGTACTCAAAAGGCACATGTGGCTAGTTAATACAGTATTGGATAACACAGATAAAGAATATTTCCATCGTTACAGAAAGTTCTATTGGACAGTGTTGGTCTAAGTGGAAGATTTGAGAAATAAAATTCTTTCTTTGATTTCTATGAGTTCTTCATCCATATATAATTTACTGGGTTTGTGCAGTGGTTCTAAAGTTTTAATGTACAGATGAATCATCTGCTGAGCTTGTTCAAAATGGAGATTTTAGACCCTTCCCCAGACTCTGATTCCTCAGATTTGGACTTGTGACCAGAAATCTGTATATATAATAAGTATTCCAGGGAATTCTGATGTTGGTAGGTGGTTCAGGAATTACATTTTGAAAAATGTTAAGTTAGAAACTTGGAGATTGCCTATCTTTTGATTCCCCCACCCCAACCCCACTTCATTCTTTCATTACTGACTTTCTTTTGTGTCATCAGTAATTGATTGTAAGCATCATGTGTCCCCAACTTGAATTCTTGACTGGTAATAAATAGCAAAAAGAAAATTCATTTATTTACCATTTCATCTTTTTAATGTATGCATGTTTTAATTTGGCTATGCCCTATGAAAAGTAAACAGAAATGGTTATTTCACTACCATTCCAGACTGTGTAGGTAGGTAATTCTGACAGAATTCCTTTTTTTTTTTTTGAGGAAGATTAGCCCTGAGCTAACATCTGCTGCCAATCCTCCTCTTTTTGCTGAGGAAGACTGGCCCTCAGCTAACACCCATGCCCATCTTCCTCTACTTTATATGTGGATGCCTACCACAGCATGGCTTGATGAGCAGTGCCATGTCCACACCCAGGATCCCAACCAGCAAACCCTGGGCCACCGAAGTGGAACATGCGAACTTGACCACTGCACCATCGGGCTGGCCCCATGACAGAACACCTTTAACCACTAAGAGTTGAGAACCCAGAAGTCGTGGAATTAATGAAGTCAAGAAAAAGAAGTACAACATATGATCTCCTCTCTGAAGGAGATATATCTAGTTAGGAAATGGATAAATATATCCAGAGAAATCACTTAAAGGGCACCTAGCAACAAGTCAGTAATTAGAAAAATAATATAGTAGAAACTAGATCTTGACAGTACTCAAAGGAAAAGTATGACCTGAGTTGATTGAAGATAATCTAAGTTGCTTTCCTTTGTAAGATTTGAGGGTTTCTTATTGGGACATGGTCTCTGCATCTGGAATGGGCAATAAAAGATGGGAAAGATCCTAATTTGATCCTGTGATATATTTGTGGGTTTTGGCAGTAGGGCCAGGCCATGAATGGCATTTGGAAAACCAACTAAAGGGACTACTCAGAGTGCATTGGATTTAGAATTTTTCTGGGTGATTCCCCCATGATCATGGAACTGCATTTGCTCACAGAAATGAAAGTGCAGAAGAAATGGAGGTGAAGGAAGTTCACTTTATAAGAGGAACTACCTTTAGGGAATTTCAAATTCTGATATTGAAAAAAAGACCTGTCAAGGTCCCAAAGAATAAAAAATTTTCTTTTAAAATAGTTGTCTAGCCTCTTTCCTTTAGAGAAATTGTCCATTGGGATTCTCTGATAAATAATATTGAAGAAACAGTGTTAGGAAGACAAAGAAAAAGAAAGAAAGAAAGAAAGCTCAGTATGTTACCAGTGTTTTAAAAAGCATTTTCACATAGATCATCTGGAAGATTAGCTTTTTTCCTTTTGTCTTGGGACTTTGGTTAAATACTATAACACCAATACCCCTGCCACCTCTTGTCCTGAGTCAGATCTGTCTAATTCTGTACTTACTTTTCAGTCTGTGCTAGTACTGCAGCCACTAGCCACATCCGGTGATTTAAATTAATTAAAACTAAATAAAATTAAAAGTTCAGTCCCTCAGTCTCACTAGCCACATTTCAGGTACTCAATAGGCACATGTGGCTAGTTAGTACAGTGTTGGATAGCGCAAATAAAGAATATTTCCATCACTGTAGAAAGTTCTATTGGACAGTGTTGGTCTAAGTGGAAGATTTGAGAAATAAAATGCTTTCTCTGAAGGTAAAAGTTTGCCCACCCTTGCTACAAGATGTAAATGTTCTTTTCAAAAAGACACATTGTCTTAGTCCCTCAGGGTTGCTATAACAAAAATACCATAGACTGGGCGGCTTATAAACAACAAACATTGATGTCTCACAGTTGTGGAGGCAGGGACGTCCAAGATCAGGGCACCAGATTCCATGTCTGCTACGGACTTTCTGGTTCATACCGATCCATACAGCTGGCTTTTCTCTGTGTCCTCACATGGCAAAGGGCACTAATCCCTCTGAGGGCTCATCCCATGAAGGTCAACCCATTCACGATCTAATCACCTCCCAAAGGCCCCACCTCCTAATACCACACCCTTAACTTTGGGGGTTAAGATTTTCTCATAGGCATTTGAGGTGGGGTGCCACACAAACATTCAGACCAAAGCAGACATATAAAATGTTACTTAGATCGAGGCTCACAGTCACCTCCTTAGCCAGCTTCTTTGGACTCAAGATGATAAAAACGATACAGTGTACTGCAGAGGACTTTCTCTTTCTTACCTCTACCGTATCCTGTCCTCTCTGCTTTGAAATACATTGAAACCGACCTAAGATTGCCTTTTTGAGAGTCTTCATCTCTTGAATTCGAAGCACTATCTATGTCTCTCCTCCCCTTTCCTCTGCCCTGTCCCTTTCTGCATACAACTAGGATCTTGGTCAGTATGAGACATTGGGGTTTCACTTCCAGGCACCGTCAATTCAGAGATGGTTCAGAATACAAGTTCTTTCCCCGGGTGGCCAGTTGGGTGCGATGTGAAATAAGGGTAATGACATTTCCTAAGGAATACAAATCAGCCTAACATAAAAATTAGTTGATATTCAAGAATTACAACAGGCTTAGAAAAGTAAACGGACTTTCTGGTTCATACCGATCCATACAGCTGGCTTTTCTCTGTGTCCTCACATGGCAAAGGGCACTAATCCCTCTGAGGGCTAAGGCCCCCCCGTACAGTATTTTATGATTCTTCCTTTTTAAGGAATTTAACTGTCCCTCTGTAATTCTATCTATACCAAATTTGCTTTTCTTTTAACTTCCTTCCAAAGGAACCAATTTTGAATTGAAAACTAATGAGTATTGAGTTGAAAATGTCAGTGCAAGCCTTTTTCTAGGAAAATATTTTGCTAAAAGGTTTTTTTTTTTTTTTTTTTCCCATCTCTCTCTCTCTCTTTGGGGACTGTGTCGTGCCAGGTTGAAAGAGTGGAGATTTCCATAAGACATGGATAGATGCAAACATGTAGGGCGGTTGCGGCTCGCCCAGGACCACTCCATCCTGAACCCTCAGAAGTGGTGCTGCAGGGAGTGCACCACCACCGAGTCCGTGTGGGCTTGTCTCAAGTGCTCCCACGTGGCCTGCGGCCGGTACATTGAGGATCACGCCCTTAAACACTTTGAGGAGACTGGACACCCCCTTGCCATGGAGGTCTGGGATCTCTACGTGTTCTGTTACCTGTGCAAGGACTATGTGCTCAATGATAACCCGGAGGGGGACCTGAAGCTGCTGAGAAGCTCCCTCTTGGCCGTCAGGGGCCAGAAGCAGGACCTGCCGGTGAGGCGCGGGCGGATGCTGCGGTCCATGGCCGCGGGCGAGGACGCCATCCCGCTGCAGCATGCCCCTCAGGGACAGCCGCAGATGCTCACGGCTCTGTGGTACCGGCGCCAGCGCCTGCTGGCCAAGACGCTGCGGCTCTGGTTCGAGAAGAGCTCCCGGGGCCAGGCGAAGCTGGAGCAGCGGCGGCAGGAGGAGGCGCTGGAGCGCAAGAAGGAGGAGGCGCGGCAGCGGCGGCGCGAGGTGAAGCGGAGGCTGCTGGAGGAGCTGGCCAGCGCCCCTCCGCGCAAGAGCGCGCGCCTGCTGCTGCACGCGCCCCGGGCCGCGGCCCCGCGCCCCGCCTCGCCGCGCGCGCCCGCCGGGGCCGCCTCCAGCCGCGCCGCGCCCCCGCCATGGCGCCCGGCGTCACGGGCCTGCGCAACTTGGGCAACACCTGCTACATGAACTCCATCCTCCAGGTGCTCAGCCACCTCCAAAAGTTCCGAGAGTGTTTTCTGAACCTCGACCCTTCCAAAACGGAACACCTGTTTCCCAAAACCAACGGGAAGGCTCCACTGTCGGGCAGGCCGGCCAGCAGCTCGGCCACTGAGCTGTCTGCGAGGAGCGACAGGGCTGAGTCGGGCGAGCGGGAGGGCCTCTGCTTGAACGGCGGGGCCTCCATCAGCCGGAGCCTAGAACTCATCCAGAACAAGGAGCCGAGCTCGAAGCACATTTCCCTCTGTCACGAACTGCACACCCTCTTCCGAGTCATGTGGTCTGGCAAGTGGGCCCTGGTGTCACCCTTCGCCATGCTTCACTCAGTGTGGAGCCTGATCCCTGCCTTCCGCGGCTACGACCAGCAGGACGCGCAGGAATTTCTCTGCGAGCTGTTGCACAAAGTGCAGCAGGAACTCGAGTCCGAGGGCACCACGCACCGGATCCTCATCCCCTTCTCCCAGAGGAAGCTCACCAAACAGGTCTTAAAGGTGGTGAATACCATATTTCACGGGCAGCTACTTAGTCAGGTAGGTGTGTGCCCACCCTAACCCCCACTCTGCCCATCACCTGGAGGGAGGCTTATATGTTCGAGTTTGGGCTTCCTGTGAGTGCCTCCCTTGGTTGTTGGGCTCACCAGGGTACCCAACATTTGCTGACATTATGCAGAGTAATTGCAGGTGGCCATTGTACCTTTCATTGTAGTAATCTTTGTGATGGCCTTTTTGGTGAACTTGCCTTCTGTCTCTTTCTGGGCAGATTTTTAGTTTCACTTGCCATATCACTTCATTTTCAGTGACTGTCTTTACCTTTAATGCCAATATGGCTAATACAATATTCTCATTGTTATATTTAAGTACCGATTGTTGGCATACCATCCTTTGATCAGTTTTGGGAAATTGAAGTTTGCCCGTAACCCTGGTTCCATGGTAGTTTGAAAGAGTATTCTTCACGTGCATTCTTTACGTACAAGGAAGGGAGGTGGCTAGGAGGATGCCAAAGGCCTAACCAAGCCTCCCTCCTGCTCCCCATCACCTTTTATTTCCTGAGTCTTTAGCCATGTAGGGATGTAAGCAAAGTCTTATAAACAAGGCTTTGTGAGAATATGCAGAAAGAATTTTTAGAGTTAAAAAGGCAGGCAACTTAAGAGACTCGGGTAAAAGCTCTATCCTATGCTGAGGTTTAGGTTTTGTGTCTTGGTATTTAGTTTTAAAAGAGTGATGAATAGGATGGGAAGAGAAAGTTTACGCTTTTTTTAGCATGTGAAAGGGGAGTATTTATGGGTACTTCCTCTACTCCCTGAGGGTCCATAGGAAGAGAGGAGCATCTGGGAAGGTTATAATGGGAGAGGAGGTCTAATCTCAAGGTACTTTGAGGCTTTGCGAACCCAGGGATCTGTGTAGGATGCCCAAGAAACAAAGTCAAAAAGAGGCAAGTTGGACTGGATGGAAGGAGCAAAGTCTGGAGGAGGATGGAATGTGAGGATGAGAGAAGCAGACAGGAATGTGCAAATTGTCCATTTCAGACAGATTCCATGATAACTTGCAGTCTGTACTCCTGCAGTATTGAATGGTATTGCATGCTTAGGGAGAAAGGGAGAGGTACTAATCTCTGTGCTGCATGTTTTTCCAATTCCAGCTAGCATCACAATTCAAAATACATGCCAGAAGTAATATGCTCTAATTCTCTTAAAGTTCTGTTTATTATTTTAATATTACAATAAAGTTTTTTTTTTAATTCTTCTTCTCCCCAAAGCTCCCCAGTACATAGTTGTATATTCTAGTTGTAGGTCCTTCTGGTTGTGCTATGTGGGAAGCTGCCTCAGAGTAGCTTGATGAGTGGTGCTAGGTCTGTGCCCAGGATCTGAACCGGTGAAAGCCTCGGCCATCAAAGCAGAGCGTGCAAACTTAACGAAACAGCCATGGGGCTGACCCCAATAAACTTCTTTTGAAAACTGTACACTTAGTTTTGGTCTGTCTTGTATAAAGTGAGCAAACAGGTATGTGGTAAGCATGGAAGTTATATAACCTGTTAAATCAATCTTTTCATTCTAGGTCACATGTATATCATGCAATTACAAATCCAATACCATTGAGCCCTTTTGGGATCTGTCCCTGGAATTCCCTGAACGCTATCACTGCATAGAAAAGGGGTTTATCCCTTTGAATCAGACAGAGTGCCTGCTCACTGAGATGCTGGCCAAGTTCACAGAAACAGAGGCCCTGGAAGGGAGAATCTACGCTTGTGACCAGTGTAACAGTGAGTGCTGGGGGTGAGGGGATTGGCGGTGGCCAACTGGAATATCAGTTTAAGGTGATTCTTTTGCCCCTTTCGTCAAAAGTAATACTGATAATATTGAGTGGTTCTAAAGCATATTTTAAAGATTTTTTTCTCTCATTTTACTGAAAACAAGCATATGGACATTATATATTAAAAAACAAAACAGAACCTAATAGTTGTGCCTCCTTTGACTCCTGCTGTGACTGACATTAGTTGTTATCTTGGGAAGCGTTTGAAAGTGTGGATCCTGAAATGGGGTCTCTAAGAATGTGAGTACTTAGCTTCATAGTGCTACAGGGTCCTGCTAAAAACTCATTAATATAGAGTCTCACAGTTTTTATTTAATCTAAATTCAGGTAGCATAGCCTGTTTGAGCTATGGTATCAGAAAAGTGTACTTTTGTACTGAATTTGTGGATTTACATGTGTCAGCAGTGATGCTAAGGATCCGTAAAATGAGAACAGAAAGCAAGTTATAAGGTCCATCGCTCCACAGCAGCTTCACAGTTACTTTCTGCATTTGTTTGTTTCTTCACTTTCCTGAAATGTTCGAATCTCGGAAGGGGTCATAAGGAAGTATTTCTCTATCATGGCGTTAATTTTATAGTGGAACTTTCATGTGGTTACGTGGGCATCTTGCCCCACTAACACTTAATGCTTTTGCTAACTGAGCACATAGAGAGGAAATGCAGAAGAAATACTTGGAAGCTCATGTTTGGGTTTTTTGGCATATAAAAATTTGGAAACTAAAATTAATGTGGATTGTTCAGAGATCTAGAACTCAATTTGCAGCCATATAGTAGTTTTGACTAAAAGTTTTGGGAATAAAACCAAAAATATATTAATCTTCTTAATATAATTGCATATGTTTTTTTAAAATAGTAAATTGTAGTAAACTTCTCTCTGAAGAATCAGGACAAAAATGAAAAGCGATACTTGATATCATTTTGCCATTTTAAAACAAAATTTGAAATGCTGTAGTTGGTTAACTGTAGGACTCCCCACTCCTGTTCCACATTGATATAAAGGCAGTGACTTAAATTCTAAGAGCAGGATCTGTTTAAATAGTGGTTCATAAAGCTTTTTACTTGTAAGGAACAGAAGTATGTTAACCGTTTTAACTCCATCACTTTCAGACATGATAGATTAGGCAAGAAATACTTTTATTTATTTTTGCAAGAAAGGATTGTTTTTCTGGTTGCCAAAGGTGCCAGTTTATCAGGATTTCTCTAGGCAAGTTCAAATAATACAGGGAAGGAAGGCTATGGGGAAGGGATGAAATGCATTGATTGCTGCCCACCTCTCTGTGTGGCTAGCTCAGTCAAATGGAAACAGAACTGATCAATCTCCATCGAATCAGTAATTTCTTTTTCTTTGTGAATTTCATTTTAGGGAAACAAAGCCAGATTCTATATTGTCTTCATCTTAGCTCACATACTCCCCCTGCTGAGCGTGGCAGTCACTGCCAGGGTTTCCAAGCAGAGCTGCAGTAATTTTCAGAAATCTGCTGGTGAATAGGAGTGTAAAATAAGGCCAGGGCCCTCTTTGAATTCTCCTTCTGTTCCAGCCCCCACATATCATCACTGCCAGCCCTAGCAAAAGCTATGGCACACTCATTCTGGGGCAATCTATTATAAAAAGCAATAGCTCCACATGCAGTTGTCACAGAAAGCTCCATGATATGTCATCTGACTGTGATTTGCTACCTTTCACAAGTGGTACAGACAGGACTTGGAGTCAGATGCCAAGCTCTTCAGACACAGACCACGATATCAACAGCTCAAAGACAATTAGCAGGCACCACAGTGGACCACTAACTAATTTTATATTCCCATCCATTCACTGATTTAATTAATATAATAACAGAGCAGTCATCAGTAAATGGTTATAGAGAAAGCTTCTGATGGAAATTAAAAGAACTTTATTTCCATTGTTTATTTGCTGTAATTTAGAAATGCATTTCCTGCACAATTCAGTAGCTTTAGAACCAAAATTGGGAGTCTGAGTACGGGTTCTGCTTTGCACTGGGTAAGTCTGGCCAGCCTTTCAGCCTTGTCCTGCATGTCCAGCAGTCTGCTTTTATCCAAGAAACATGTTTCAAAAACATGTTTCATAAAAATATAAAACCAGCAAAGTTTCTTTTCTGAATATTTATGTGCCTGAAAATCAGGCTGAAAAAAAATATGTTGAAATACTTTGTCCTTTGGTAATCGTATGTCTCTTCCTTTTTCCTAAACCTGAAATATATGCATTAGTCCCCACTTGAGAAGAGAGGAAACTGAGGTTCAGAGTTTTGAATAACTTACCTAATGGCATAAATAGCTGTACGCAGGAAATAGAATTTGGCCTCTCTGATGAAAACAAAAAGCTTTTTAAGTTATATTATGCTGCATCATCATTTAAGTGATAAGCTCATATATAAAGGCATAGAACCCTAACATATGCATCTATGTGCATGTGGTTGCTGTGACCTTCATTATATTCCATTGATAAATCCGTGACATCAGGAGCATACCATCCTAAACCCATACCAGTTTTGGAAACTGCTGATGGCACAAGTTTGAAAGTGGATGTATTAGGATTAAGTTTGTTTGCTTATAAGTCAACTCAAATAACGGTGACTTAAAACGAGATAGAACTCTTTTCTTTATATAAAAGAAGTTTGAAGGACATTCAGGGCGGGCATGGTGGCTGCATGGTCATCGGGGACCCAAGTTCCTTCCCCATCTTTCAGCTTTACTGTCCTAGTTCAGGGCTTCCATCCTCAAGGTTACCTCATGGTCCAAGTAGAATTCCAGCAATTGCAAACAGTAAGAAGGACAAAGGATGTACCTTACAACTGAGTCAGCCTTCCTAAGCAGCCATCCCAAAAGAGCCACACAATCATTGCTTTAATCTCACTAGAACTTCCATGGCCACACCTTGCAGGCATGTGAGGCTGGGAAATACAGTCTTACAGAGAGTCACATTGCTGCCTCAAATAAAATGGAGATTCAAATACTGAGAAATAAGAAGAATGCATATTGAGTGGCAAGTCATTGTCTCTGTCATAGCTTGGAAAGAATGTGACTCCTCATAACCTATGTCTTATACCTTTCCAAACCATATAGGCAAACGACGAAAATCCAATCCAAAACCCCTTGTTCTGAGTGAAGCTAGAAAACAGTTAATGATCTACAGACTACCTCAGGTCCTCCGGCTGCACCTTAAAAGATTCAGGTGAGCTTGCTCTGGGGCATCCCAGGTGGCTGTGAGCTGTGGGAATAGCTGTTTCAAAGGCTTTAGTGAGGGCAAATGTCTGCTTTAGCGCTGGGAGGGGAACTTTGTTCCCTAGAGACCTTGCACATTCCATGAAGGCTAAGTGCTTCCTGCCCAGTGAGGCAGGTTGATGCTGGGGCCCTGCAGGACTGGACTTCCACATTCGTGGCCCTGTTTAATTGGCTGGCCAGCCCCGGATGTCTGTGCCTGAAGATTTTCTAGCCTTTTATAGAGTCACCTTCAGAATAAAGTATGAGATAATCTGAAAAGCAGGGCAGGCAGTAAACTACAAAAAGATTATTGACTGAATTGCTTGTTTATAGAGATTTCTAGTTTCAGGGTATATCATGGAACATTCACAGGAAATATATGTGGACATTGGCTGTTTTATTGGCATGAAAACCAAAGCCCGAAGGTTTTCTCAGTTCCCTGTTTACCTACCTCTACCTATGACTGCATATGCCATTTTTTACTAGTAAGAAGTCTATATCCATATTCTAGGTGGTCTGGCCGTAATCATCGAGAGAAGATTGGGGTCCATGTCGTCTTTGACCAGGTATTAACCATGGAACCTTACTGCTGCAGGGACATGCTCTCCTCTCTTGACAAAGAGACCTTTGCCTATGATCTCTCCGCAGTGGTCATGCATCACGGGAAAGGGTTTGGCTCAGGACACTACACAGCCTATTGCTACAACACAGAGGGAGGTGCGTGCGCTTTACTCTGTGGGGTGGGGGACACGGAAAAGGGCTGGTTGTCCACATTTCATTGCTTTCCTTTTATTTCATCCATAAAGAGATATTACATACATTAAAATTCAGTGGAAAGAATGATGGAAGTTGTATTCAAATTTGGATATATCACTAAGTAACAACATGATTGTTCTAAGAATTGACAGGATCATGTAAAAGTGCTTAGCACAAAATGCTCAGTTAATGTCCAAAGTTATTGTTATTATTAATACTTCTGCTGCGACCTCAGTTCCCTTCCTGGTTATGCAGAAATGACATGACCTCTCTGACCTCATGGAGATGGTGTATTGATCTCACTAGCCTCAGCTCATAATAGAGCTGAGGACATCTATTGAGCACTTACTATGTCTTGCTACCTCCCTCACAGTGGGATGGTGGGGATTCAAGGGCCCCTCCCAAGGAGCCTCCCAGATACTGCAATGAGGGGGGTGGGCTGTGGGTGTGTTTTCAGCGGTGTTCCTCTCTTGAACTCCTCAGTCCTTGGGGCAGCCAGGGGGAGCCTGTGAACAAATAATTTTTTATTCCTTCTAAATTTTCTGTTATCACTATTTACATCTCCCCTCTCCTTCTCCCTTCTCTTTCTATCTCTTAGTCCCCATCTGCTGGCTGACTTTGTAGAAGGCCCTAATGGGCAATGAAAAAGCCTGAATAGAACGAGGACAAAAATTACAGTCAATATTCTAAGCAGTATTGTGCAGTTTGGTGGGGTTAAATCCAATGGTTACAGGAGTCTGTTGGTTTCATTTACTTGTCTCTTCCCCCACCACCATAATCAAGGGTTGGCTGTATTCAGAACTCCTCTGTCCCTTTCTTCATCTCCTGGTTTTGCCTGGTAACTGGAAATATAAGTTGGGTAGTCATTTTCTCTCTTTCTTTCCTTTGGTTTCCTAGGTTTTTGGGTCCACTGCAATGACTCAAAGCTGAATGTATGCAGTGTCGAGGAAGTGTGCAAAACTCAAGCCTACATCCTTTTTTACACTCAAAGAACAGTTCAGGGCAATGCAAGAATCTCAGAAACCCAACTCCAAGCTCAGGTGCAGTCCAGCAACAACGATGAGGGCAGACCACGGACCTTCCCCTGAATGGGAGGCATGTATCAAGGACTGGCTTGCTTTTAAACTATTGGTGTCTATTCATCTTTCCTCTTATAGGAAATAAGGTTTACTGCAGGAACAGATTACTAGGTTTGCCTCACTGGGTCTAGAGCAGAAGGTGCCAGGTGACTCATGTCCTATCATAAAATTTATAGTCTCTTTTGAATGCATTTGGAAATTCTCTCCTTTGATAAAACCAACCAAAAGGAGTAACTTCTATGAAGATTCTTTCATCAGTTGCTTCTGAATATAAAGGGATCTGGGTGGAGAAAAGAGGGAGTAAATTGCTTATATCCAGCCAGGAGAGCAGCCATGTTTCTTTCCATTATGTGATTCCGCTGCTAATCAGGACCTCCTTACAGCTTCAGAAGAACCCTCCTGATGTGAGCAGCCCTGGAGAGAGCACGTGAGGAGGGGCCCTGGGCTGGCAGCTTGCTGGATGGGATTGGTTCCAAGGTGGGAGGTGAAGTCTAAGGATTTGTTTCTACAAAGGAAATAACTCAAGGGTTGAAAACTTGCAGATTTCCTTTTTTAGGGGGTAGTAGTTGAAGAGTGGAATGCAATGCATGGAGCAAATTTCCCCATGCAAAATGGGAGGATTTTCAAGTGTCATAGCCTCCCTGGCTGCTGCTGTCATTTAACCATTCCACATCTTCTGAGGCTGGCATGAACATCCCTTCATTCTAAAGAAGGAGCAGTTCATATGGGGACACAATAAACTGGTACCTGACATGTTCTTTCTTGCATGCTGAGCCTCTGGGCACTCCTGGCTATCCAGTTCTATTCCTGGTTCAGGTCAGGTCAAGGTCTAGGGTTTGGTTTAAATTGGCCTTTAGGTCAGTTGTCTGAGGCTTTCTCAGAACTCAGTTAAGGGTGGGCAGGGATACTGGACCACCTTATCTGAATGCCTATCACCTGTTCTCACCTTGGTGCAGCATGCAGCTTTTCTTAGCCTGCAGCTTCTTCCTTGTACCTGGAGGGCTAGAATATTCTTGTTCACCACAAGGTTTGAGAGCTTTTGCTTTCCTAGGGCTTAGGAACCTACCCCCTATATGTCTGAGCAGTTTATTGCTGATGGCCCTGGCCTATTTCCTCCAAAATCTGAAAATCTCTACTGTTTCTTTACCCAACCACACTCAGTCCATCAGAGAAAAGCAAGAGTGCCCTGTCCTTTACCCCAGTGCTAGTAAAATATCTTTCTTTTAAAACTGGGTCAGTTTCTAAGTGGAATGAAATTGCCCAGATGGAAAAACCTCCTCCCCATCGGGCACTACTGAATTTCCCTTCTCAATCCTTTGCTTAGACTCACCAGTAACAGTGAATGCAAACCATAACTCCCATTGTGGGGGTTGCTGCAGCCTGCCTCAGCCTGTCACTATGAATGCTCATCTTTTGACTGAGTATATCATATCAGTATTTCAATTCAGGTAGAAGTACAGTTGTCACTTGAAGGGAGTAGATGTGGAAGGGAGTTTGGGGAGGGGTGGGAAGTTGGGAAGACGCTAAAGATTAAGGGTCGTAGCTTTAGTGATGTTGATGAGCCACATTTCCCAAGCAGATCTGTAGCATCTGCTGTTGACCTCTTTTGAGATGAACTCTCCCATAGGACCTGCCAGATAGCACTGAGACATGGAAGAAATTCAGACAGAAAAGGGCTCGCCCTGATAAAGGGGGAGTGACTATATTTTAAATTAAACTTGCTTTTTCCAACACTGTGAGATTTCTGTAATATTCAGCTTTTATTTGGAAGCGATAGCGTATGGCATTTTTTATGCTGTTTGGTTTATATTGTCTACTGCAGGCTTCTTATGTACAAGCTTGGCCAGGGCTCACCCTCTTCCTGGACGCTGTTTTAAAGTGTCACAGCTGCCCATGCTGCCAGAGGCTCTGATGTGAAGCTATACTCTCTAGATCCACATTTTTAAGTCAGCATGATTGGCAATGACTTCTAGAGAAGCCCATTAACTCAAAAAAACCAAGGAGAGTAAAAAGGAAAGGAAAATAGAAACTGTGCCTCACCTTTCATTGAATGCTCTATTTATTATTCTAGAAAAAGAGAACTTACAAATGGAGAAAAACTAATAGAGCATCTACTTCATCCCTCAGGCTGTCCAGGGGGAAATACTTAAAAAAAATAAAATATGCATTTAATGAAAAATTAAAGGATCTTCAAATTTAATTTTAAAAAATAGTTTTATACCAAATATTATAAGGGTTATTAAGCAGATTAAGGATTTTGTAAAATAACTGCTTAACTTAGCTGAGCACCCATGTATCAAATGAATAAAATCATTTAAAGCGAGTTGGAATAGAAATCAATATCAGAGTCCTCACCGAGCTGCACACTCTTGACGGTGCCCCTGCAGTCACAGACACCTCAGGTACCCAGAGGCAGCAGCACTAGACGCTGTTGAGAAGTTAGTATTTATGGAGATTTTTATTAAAAAAGAGTTCCCTGCTGCATAAGCCAGTAGCTGTTGTGAGGGAAATGTCCCTTTGCCTTTAATTTATTTACATACTGGAAGTAGATGAAGTTCTTAGTTGCATCTTTAAATTGAAGCATTCTGAAGAGAAGAAAACAACCACCAGGTAGAAGTTGACTAGAAGCTGCCAGATTACATCCCGCATCTCCTAACTGAACCTTATGGGCCTGCTTCTCTCCCAGATGAGTAGTTAGAGTCCTGTTCCAGGAACCCTTTGCAGTTGGCTGGTGTGTTTACTTTCTGCTGTAACCAGCCAAGGTGAACGCACCCTGGACCTCAAAAATGATTTTTACCTCAATCTAGCTTGACCCTCATACTTGTGGTTGCCTGAGATGAGCATCCATGCTACTGTAAAAAAAGTTAGGAATGCTCTCAACAGCCAGGAACTGAAGCTCTTATTAAATGGTGGGCAGAGCTCTTGCCAGCTTTGACCCAGCTCCTCTGAGGCTGAGGGGGGCAGTGCCACAATGTAAAGAATTTCCAGATGTCTCTTAAAACGTCATGAATAAAATTGAAAACTGTAGAAGTGTTAATGTGTCCTATGGACTCAATAGCAGAGTTTATTTTTGTTTTTAACGGCAAGGCTTCTAGAATCATTGATTGTATGAGTTCCCTACTCTGGCTATGCTTACAGTTCCATCCAAGTGCAAGAACTAATGAGGTTGGTTGGCTGGCAGTGGGGCACGGCCCTAGCCAGGCCCCAGCATAAGCCCAAGAGAGGTCGACAGTAGTGCAGAGTGAAAACTTGGGTGGGTAGGGGGTGGGAATGTGGGTGGGCAGGCAGGGAGGGAGAAACGGAGTTTGTTTTACTTACTGATAAAGCTTTGTGAACTAATTTTATACAATTCATAAAATTTGGTGCCTTGTACCCAATTATGGTTTGCATGGAACTGAAAAAGATTAAGGGGAAGGATTCCTTCTTGTCATTTCAAGTGGCAAATGGGTCTGTATAGTGTAAAGGACATTTGGTATCAGACTTTTTTAAAGCATTTCATATCTCTTGCGTGTGAAAGCAAATTATCCTTACCAGCAAGTGCTGAAATTCTACTGTAATGTCCAAAATCTTTGTATTTGTAATTATTCATCAAATGGCTGCTTTTCAAGGTAGACTATGTACCCCATTCTTTTTCACCATCCCTTTTATGGTACAAACATTAACTCGGTCAGGCCTTTTCAAATCAGGCTGGGAAGGCTATCCCTTCCTAAACATATATTATATCCCTATCTTGGGTTGTACCTTATGAGTGGAAGGGTTGCTTTTCCAGCTGGTTGGGAGAGCACAAATGTTCAGGAAAGGCCTTTTATTGTTTCTAATGCTGGGCAACTTATGGTAGAAGTCAGACAAAAATGGTTGCTCCTGAAGTCATACCTTCATTAGTTCTGAAGTTCTTTTGCACATTTCACAAAGCAGTATAGAACACAATCCCCCATATGTGAACCTTTAGATTGTAAGGCAAGCCAGTGCACTGTGTAGTATGCAAAAGGGATGGCTCAAAGAACCTGTCCCAGCCCCCCAGCCCGTTTTCATCAGGTGCTGCCCTGGATGGTGCTGAGTGGCTGTGAGAGTGGAGGAGACCCAGTCTGCTCACCTGCAAGACTGTTTCTAGCATGTTCCTTTTACTGCGACCTTAAGGTTTTCACTGAGCTCATGAGACTTCACCAAAGGGTGTCTAAAAAGCTCACCACTGAAAGCACATTTGATAATTGGGTCCCTCAGCCTAATTACTGGCCCAATTAGGTAAGGAGGTTCTATCTTTGAAGTAAAACCTCCCATGGCCACTTAGTTTTTTACTGGGTAAGTATGCTCCTTGGTGGTTCGGATTCTTTTTTGAAGTCAGCACTACAGCTGAAAAGCGCCTTCTAAATATGGCTGTGAGTCTAGTTTCTATCTTCTACATTTAAATTAACCATCTTTTGGTCTAGGGCTTTCACTTTAACCACTGTGTAGTCGTTCAACCACACATTGCTCTAAATACACCAGAGCTACTACCACATTGAGGCAAGTGGTCATTTTTATGGACTCTTTCCATACTTACTTCTGCTGGCACGTTTCCTAACCTAGGTAGTATATAAGGGATTTTCCTAGCACTGTGTTAACTAGCCAGGGCTGAAAACTGTGTGACAGAATGTAAAACTGACTTCCCTTGGGGAGAATGTTATGTGTTAGAATGGTAAAAGCCAGCACTTTCTTTTACAGAATAATTATCAATATTTCTGGAAATTGTAAATTTGGTTGCTTTATTTGCTAAATTCTTATCACATTGAGGAATTAAGCTAGTTTAAATGACACTTTACCTGCATTATGGCTTTACAAACCAACCAACAGTAAACACTATTACTTGAAACTAAAACATTAAATTCTGAGTGAAATTTGAATTCTGCCTTTGGAAGCTGCCATGTCTTAATTTTTGCGAGATTTTGATTTTCAACTTTGAAAATTTTTATCAAATAGAATTATTCACAATTATGAGTTGATTGGGTAGCAGACTTCAAGGATATAAGTTTCATTCTATAAAGAACGGGAGGTGCTGCTATTTCTTGTATTAGCAGCGTCTGGTGCAGGTCTGAAGGGGGCTAGAATCTATGCTATGGCTTAAACGTCTCCTTCCTGCTCACCAGCCTATGTGAACCGTCCTCATCTTAACATCCATAAACCTGTCAAATGATCTGCGGTCCCAGTGTAGGCTCTTCACGGATCTTGGTTTCATGTTAAGAGAGCCACAGGCCTGAATTCACACAAGCTCAAACTCCTTTCTCCTAACATATGGGAGCTGCCTGATTAATACTCACAAGAAAATGGTGCTTTTTATTATATATATATAATTCTCAAACAATTCCCAGCTTTCTTAACAAGATTTATGCTGGCAGGGTTGAGGAGGACTAGTCTGTCCTATTTACCTTTAGTGAACAGACTGCTAGAGACAACATCTGTCAACTGTAACAACTAGGCCACTGTGGTGCATTTATACTGACCCGCCTTTCCAATTCATGTCCTTTAACCTCATACCAGTTCCATAGGAGACTTGGCACTGAAAAGCAGTATTTTTTAAAATGTAGGAAAAACAAGTAGAAGTAAATCAACTAAAAAAAATTGCCAAGGGGCACCTGTCTCTGTCTCCACATCTTTCTAAACCTACACGCCTCTTTCCATGTCAGTTCCTTACATATTCCATTTCCAAAGAAACCCAAACTCCTGGACAGTCACACTGCCATGAATTTTAGGGTCAGAAAACATCTATTTCCTTGTGAAGGAAGCAGCTTCCTCAAGCAGTGTCACTTTAGTGCCCACTGCCCAGGCTTACTTACACCTTGCCTCCACCTGCACACCACTGCCTTCTTTCTGCCAAAAGATCTCACTCTGTTACAGCAACACTGCCTCCCTGGTGCCTGGAACACCCCTCCCCCCACACACTAAAATGCTATGCAACACCAAATAGCTTCCTCCCTAGTATGGCTCAAACATGCAAATTCCTCCAGAATAAGCTTCACAGTGGCTACAGTTTCCGTTTCTTTTTTTTGTTTATTATGAAGCAAACCACCTCTGTTACAATCCATGTTTGGGCTTTGTTCCTCTCTCTTTTGAGTGTGAAATATAAATCATGTTTTTATGATTTTTGTAAATCTTGACTTTTTACACCTTGTTTTTGTAAGCCGAAGTTTCTTATTAAAAGAATAAAATGGCTTTGTGTGCAGTCTTTATTTCAAATATTTATTAAAATACCATTAGCTTATTCCCTAAGAGCTGAGATCACCCCCTGCAGAAACTTAGGAACAGAACTTTACGGAACAGAAGACAACACTTTAGCTGAAGCCTGACTGCTGACCAGAGAATGGGATCCTGTGTGCACTCAGCAAAGCAAAGGACATCAGGCAGGGAAGGGACAGTGCCCGTCTGAATCAACTTCAGCTGCCATCAGGGCAAGTCTTGTGATGGTCACAGACTGGAGGCTCTGTTTTTGGAAGGTTCAAGTGCAGCACAGGGGTTCCAAGTGTCTGCAGACGACAGGACAACAGGTGGCATTAGAAATGTAAAAGCACTGCAGGGGAATTGGTAAGAGACTCAAGTCCCGTGCAACATCTGGAAACACATTTAACTAGGAAATTGCCAAGGGTTTTATGTCAAGTCTCTTTCCTATATTTTGTGAATAGATGATATACGTTATTGCTTCTCCCAGCCTCTAGGAATCCTAAGACGCGCAGAGAGGTGGTTAAGTGCTTACCTATCTGGCTACACCCCTGGCTGAGGTGCCATCAGGTCAATGTCACTCAAATTCCTAGCCAGCCAAACTCCTGCAGCAAAAAGTCCCAAATTGAGGATCAAGTTCCTAGAAAAAGAACGTATTCCGTTAACCCCGTGGTCACGGAGTCACCTGTCGTTGGTTAACGAAAGATACTGGGGGAAAAAAGACTTCCCATCACCACTCGGAAAAGTGTCCCCGAGGCAAACGCACTGTTCTAGGAGTGCCGCAGCGTTCATCGTTACATGGTAGGTTGCCCAAGACCCACATAGTTATTTAGAGTTAGCTTCTGTGTCTCATAAGACCAGGATTAAATACAAAGGCCAAGCCAGCACGTGTCCGGGGCCAAAAAGTCGTGCCCCCTCCCCGGTCAGGGTGAGATTCTCTAGACACAGCCCGGTGACTGAAGAGACCGCTGCCGCCGCAGGGGAGCTCTCCCGGCCCGGGACCTCAGCAAAGCACAGCCGGAGCCACTAAGAGGCCAAGAGGCTGGCGGCGTAAAAACCCGGGGGCGCCAACCTCGACGAAGGGAAATAGGGATGCACGCGGGCGCGGAGGGACAAGCTCCCGGGCTCGGTTACCTTCGGAAATCATTCCTATCGGTGGCGAAGCGGTAGACGCCTCGAAGCCAGTCTCCCACGTTGTCCGGAATTTCGGGAGTCTCATTTGCCGAGCCGGCCGCGCTCACGCCAACCCCAGGGGAAGCCATAGCAGCACCTTCGCGCTCCGCAAAGCCTGTCAAGACGCCCCGTGTCGGCGCGGAGGAAGCACGCAACTTCCGGTCTCCCACTTCCGCCGGCCGGCAGGGGGCGCCGTTGCTCCGGGTGTGTCCGACACCCGGAGTAGAGGAACTCTGGCCTCGCGCCCACGACTCTGCAAGGGGAGGAGCAAGGCCCGGCTCTCGTGTCCCCTGGTCCAGTTCCACCTCCGGCTCCCTCCAGGCCCTGGGCGCGCCAAGCCGGTCACCATCACACGTGACGTCTGGGTGATGACTTCATTGGCTCAGGAGGAGGATGCTGGGGATGAGGCTGTCCCAGCCTGTGGGGACGGGGGTAGGGGCTAGCTCACAGGGGATGAATAGCTTTGGGGAATGGGGTTCCCCAAGAAATTCTCCATCAAAAGTCACAGAATGCTCTGGCTGCAAAGGGAGCACTTCAAGTTTATCATCTCGCCGCCTCTCGCAGGCGTGCTCCTGATTGCGTTCAGTCTAGGATTTTTATAGGGAGAGGAGAGCCTCGCTTTCCTGCCTTACAGATCACACCCCCCCACCCGCCCTTTTGAGGGCTGCGCCACTAGCAAATGGTGCAGTGCTTCCTGGAGGTGTCGCTGTCCCCAACTTCGAGGCTTCTGGGGGTCTTCCAGGGCCGGGGAAGGCGCTGGCCTAAGAAAAAGCCTTCGGGTTCTGAGTCAGAGGAAGAGGAGCAGGTGGGACAGGGGGCGTCCTCCTCGGGATCAAGGGGCGTCTCCAGGCGGCCGTGCTCCCGCCCTTTGAGTGCCTCCGCCTTGTCCCCAGCTCGGCGCTCCTGCTCCGGGCTGGACCCAAGGAGCCCCCTCTGGGTTTCTGGACTGGAGCTGGCGGCAGCGGCGAGAAGGGCTGCTCGGGAGATGGTCGCAGTGGTCAGTGGGGCGCGGTCCCCTCTTTCGACTGTTTCGAGCGCCGCCTCCCCTGTTGCGGGTCGCGTCAGAAACGCCCATCTCAGAGCCCCGAGTCTCCCTCTCCCAGATCCGGGCGGGGCGACCCCTGAAGCCAGTCCCAGTTGGGGCCCAGCCTCCCGCCCCGCCCCCGGGCCGTGCGCGCCGCCGCCGCCGCCGCGGCGAGTCCTCTCCGGGCCCCGCCGCCCCCGCCTCCGCCCACCAGAGGGCGGCCGCGGCCCCAGTCCGGGAGCGAGTCCCGCGCCGCAGCCCCAACCGCCGCGCGGGGTGGGTTCGGGAGGCCCTCGGAGCGCTCCGGCCAGGGACGCGCGGTGAGAGCTGCGGGCCCCGAGGCTCGGGTCTGGGGGGTGCGGTGGGGGGGAACGGGGGCGCTGCTGGAGGGACGGGACAGCGTGGGACCGGGGCGAGGGTCCCAGCCCGGGAGAACCCCCTCCTCAGCCCAGTCCAAGCCGCTGCCCCCTTCCCCTTTGATCTGCACCTTCTCCTCCCTTACCAAGGGACGCCCGTCCTTCCGCAGTCGGGGCCCGGCTCGAGCCGGCGTCCGAATAGCGACTCTCAAAGCAGCCGGGGCAGCAGGGGCCGCCCCCCGGCAGGGCATAACGTCCCCCGCCCAAAGGCCCGGCGCAGTCCTGGCAGCAGAAGTGGTTCTCGTGCCAGCGCCATCCCTCGGCCTCAGTGCAGCGCCGGGAGAAGATCAGCTGGGAGTGGGAGAGGGGAACAGCGCATTCATTCATTCATTCATTCACTCATTCATCATCCAGTAACCACACCTTCCACCCGGTTAACGCTAAAGCACGTCTACGGACATTCCCATTTGATCTACTCAGCCACTCTTGGACGCAGGCAGGGCCGATTGGCTTAGCCAGGATCCCCCAGCTAGCAGGTGGCACGGCCTGAAGTGCGACCCGGGTCTCCTGGACTCCCTGCCCAGGGTGCCGCGCTGCCGCTAGTGCCGACATTAAAGGAGTTCCTCGCATGGTCAGGCACAGCACTGGGCACTGGCATACTGAGACGAACGTCTGTCCAAGAGTCCCTGCTCTGGACAAATTCTCTCAGTCCAAGAAAATTTGGGGGACTCTCCTTGCGGGGGTTGGGGGCACAAAGGCAACGGGTCCCACATGCCCAGAACTCAAGTCACAGCACAGGGAACACAAAGGTCCCGGGCGGTTCCTAGTTCTCCGTACTGCACTCCGCGGTACTGGGAGAGGTGTCCCTTTACATCCTGCCACACTGGATCCTGGGCAGATCCCCCCAGCCCCTCCCCTCGGGGCTGTACCTGGTCACAAGCAGGGCAGCGCGGCCGCAGCAGCTCAGCATGATGACGGCCGCAGTAGAGATGCCCATCGTGGTAGAAGTAGATGAGGTTCATCAGGACCTGGCCACAGGCTTGGCAAGCGAAGCAAGCCCGGTGCCAGCAGCGCCGCTCTCCTGCCCGGGCTGCGAACACTCCGTACTCCCCTGGCCTCAGCCGCTCTCTGCACTGCCGGCGGGGGTGCTGGGCTGATCAGAGGCGTCACCACCCTCCTAGCTTCCCTCCTGGCTCTTCCACCCCAACCCCAACCCAACTGTTTTCCCCATACCCCTGGCAAAGCCACCTCTACTATAGGCTCCACCAAGAACCCCTAGACTTGGTTTCCCTTTTTCTTCAAGTTTGCCAAACTGTCAATCCCCAAACCCCTTTCTCCCACCAGAGTCCCAGAAGCTAGCCCATTCTGCAGAAGTGAGAGGACACAGAGCAGAGGAAGGGGAATATTGAGGCCGGGGACTACATACCTTCTCACAGGTGCGTTCTTCCAGCTTGGGAGGTACCAGGCAGGCCACCCCCTGTCCCAGGGCCTCCCGCCTCCGCTGGGCACAGAAGAGCCGCAGCTCCGCCAGCTCCTCCTCCCCAAGGGCCAGGCAGTAGCGCTCCTGCAGAAACAGGCCTCCACTGTGACTGGGAGATCCCCAGCAGGCAAGACTGAAGATTGATTGGAGAGAAGGCTTAGCTGCTGGGTCAAAGGAAGGCTGTAGAACCTCAAGGAGGTGCAAGAGATGACAGCATAGAAAGGCATTGAGGAGGAGAGGGGAAAGTCTCACTTCCCCCTAGAATGATCATCCCTCAGGTCCTGACAGCCCCGCAGCACTCAGCCCTGTCACCATATATTTAGGTCCTTGCGCCCAATGAATGGCAGCTCCATATCGCTTCCCATTGTGTTTTCCCTATTTATTCCATATTCTGTTTTGCCTCCCCAATGGAACTGTAAGCCTTTAGGCTGGGGACACGTAGGGCCTCAATAAATATTTAACAACTATACTCACTACATTTGTACATTCCATTATCAGTTTTGAAAGTCGTTCACGTCCATTTTCTCATTTGCTCTTCAACTAACCACTGTGGTGGGCAGAGCAGATGGTACTGCACCCATTATGCAGACGTAACAACTCAGGCTGGGGGTGGGAGGTGACTTCCCCCATTAGTGGCATAGCTAGGCCTTAAATGCATGTCCCTTGACTTCGGAACCAAGGTTCTTCCCGCAAAAAGTAAAGAGAGGGAAGGAAGAGAGAAGGAAGCTGGGCGGAGGGAGACCCACATCGCTGTCCTGTGGAGGGAGCTGCTGCAGGAGGGTCCGAAGCCGAGGCCAGTTGGGGGCTTGGCTGGTATCCAGGCCAGGGAGCCCCAATCTCAGAACTTCAGGATCCTGAGGAGACACAGCAGAGGGAGAGGAGTGAAGCTAGGTTTTTCCTCCCTTCCCCTTCTTTCCTCCCCTCCTCACTGCAACCTCCTCTCCGAGCTGGAACAACTTCCAAGCACTCTCCTCCATTTGGAGGATCCTTCTTCAAGACATAAGGACCGCTGACCCACTCCTGCATTTGTGGTCTGATTGAGGGAGGTTGGGGAGATCCCACGCCCCGAGTCAGCTTCCCTTCTTATGCTTGAAGTCACCTCCTTCACTCTGTAGGGCCAAAGCCCCCAGGGTCTGCCTTGACAACACAGATCCCCTGGGAGAGGTAATGCGAATAAGGTTAAAGTCGAACCCCCATATCCTGAGGGCGCTGTAGAGACAGGGATTCCTGAAAAAGGCTGCAAGACGTCAGGCACAAAGGTATTGGTGGGAATGCGCGGAGCTCCAAAGGATGGAGGGCATGTTGATCTCAGAGGGAAGCGGGGCACTCATCCTACCTGAGCAGAGGTCTCCTCAGGGTCCTCCTCTGCCAGGTGGCCTGCGTGGCTGTCTGAGCTGGCTGGTGGACCTGGCTCCAGGGGGTCGAGGCTCTCCCCTCGGTGGGACCAGACAGAGTTCAGCACTGACATTGCTAGCAAAGTCTGCCCAGAAAACAAAAACACCTCCCATTGCTTGGGCCCTGACAATGTGCTAGGCAGCGCTGGGTGCTGTACAGGCATTGTCTCACTCACTCCTCCCAACCACCAGGTAAGTTAGGTGTATTCTTGTCCCCATTTTTCGGATGGCCAAAAGGAGGCTCGGTGAGCATAAATGGTATGCCCAAAGTCACACAGCTAGTAAGCGGCAGAGCCAGATGTTGAGGCCAGGACTTTCGGCTCCAGAGTTTCTGAAGCTCCAAGTCTGGGGTCTCCCAAGATTGGGATGGAGTTTTGGAAGAGGAGGCCCACAGTGGAAGGAGAGGGCATTTTGCCTTTCTGGTGAGCCTTCTCCCCATCTCCTCAGCCCCAAGATTTAGCACCTAATGTTTCTCTTTGCTCCCTGTGTCTCTCTCAGCTCCTCATCTAGTCTATAAACTCCCCGAGGACAGAGGAAACTCTTGTGTTTCTATCTTCTATAGACAGTGGCAATTTCATTACATAATTCTAAGCACATCTCTTCAGCCCTCCTCTGGGCCAGCCCTGGTAGGACTGCAGTATCCTGGGGGTGGGGTGGGGGGGTGACTAATGAATTAGAAAAGGCATGGGCCCTGCCCTCAAGGAGTTCATAGTCTAGTGGGTAAACAGAGATCAAACCAGGCAGAATGGGGCCAGCGCTGTGGGCAGATATACACAGCACCCTAGGAAGAAATAGAACCAGAGCAAACTTTAGGAGGAGGTTGCTTTTGAGAGCTGAGATGGATTCTGATGGCAGCTGGGCACAGGAGGCCCATCAGCAGTCCTTGGCCTCTATAAGACCCAGCTCTCAGGTTAGGACCAGGGTCTAAACTACAACAGTTATATTCCTTCCCAGCCCTGAAGCCCCCTGAGCCCCGCTTCCGATGTCCTGTGCCACCCTTCCCGGCTTCCTGGCTCCACACCCCTCTGCTTCCTTCCTGTTCGGTCCCTCAGGTCGTTTCCTGTGGAAGGCAGCCAGGATGGGCTGTTCACACTCAGGGCCACTTCCCCTAACAGAGCTGCCCCTGCCCCAGGCAGCAAGAGGTGCTTGGGGGAGGGGGTGGGCATGGGAACGGGGGCGGGGGAGGCGGGAGCATCCGGAGTTCCAGAAGGGGACTTGCACTCTCTCTTCTAGGTTAGTTCTAGTTTGCATGAAATTGTCCCACACACAAACAACGCTCAGAAATCAGCCCTCACCCTTCCATCCCTCCCAGGGCGGCCTAACTCCACCTCCACTTAGCATCGGACCCCACCTTACTAACTTGCTGATTCCTCCCAGAATTCGCCGCCCGCTTCTCCCTCAGGTAAGAGACAAGGCTGAACCCCAGCTCCCGGCCCCCGCGCAGGCGCAGCCAGGTTCAGGAGCTCTCTTCCCAACCGCCCCCGGCCATGAAAAGCAGACCCCGAGCGACCCTAGGGACTGGGGAGGTAGAGGGACGGGGAGGTTTCCCGGGACAGTGAGAGGGAGAAGGGGAGGAGAAGTGTCCGGTCCCGCCAAGTGCCCTCTGGACAGATCCCCAAAGTTTTTCTTGGACTTCGCTGGGCCCATCTTTGAGGCGGGGCGTGGTGTGGTTCCCGACTCCGCTGCGGTGCGCAGGCTGGCTGCTGGGAGTCCAGGAAAGGGGGACTCCGCCGGGGTCTCACCCTTGCTGCGCGCCGCTGTCCGGGCCGTTCTGGACAGATCCCGCCGCCAAGCGCCTAACCGGGTCCCCACCCTGAGGCCTCAGCGCCCGCCTCTGCCCGCCCTGGGAGTGCGTGGCCCTTCCTCTCCCACGCCCCCTGCAGCCCTTGCCCGCCCCTCCGGGATGGCAGAGCGGGAAGCTCGGGGAGGGGCCTGGGGCTGCAGACGGAGGAAAAGATTTGTGGGATCTCGGGGGGTGGAAAGTGTGCAGGCTCCACTGCCCCCTCTCGGTGTGGGGACCGCGCCCCCGCGGGGCCGAAGTAGACACCTGGGAGCCGCGCTTATCCTGGGTCCTCAGACACTAGCTGAACAGAACGCCTTTCGGAGCCTGCACGTCCCCCGAGACCCTCCCTCTGGCCTCCTAGCCCCGCCCCTCTCAGTGTGTCCCACCTCCTCTAGTTTCCTCCCCCTTGTCCCCAGCCCTTTTCCGAGGTCCTTCGTCCTGCCCTTCTCCCTTCCGTCCCTTCGGACCCCTCCTCTATCTTTTGTATTTCTCCCCCATCCTCGTCCACTTTCTGATCTCGGGCATGGAAATCTCTGGGTCCACCTCTGGTCCCCTCGGCCCCGCCCCCGCCCCAGGCTCCGCCCCGCCCCGCCCCGCCAGGCTCGCCCAGCCGCTGGCCAGGAGCGCCCTCTGGCGTCTGCGCATGCTCCCTGCTCCCGACTGCAAAGTCCTCCAAAGGGACCTTCTAGGCTGCGCGCCGGTCGCCCCCGATCGGGTCCGCCCGCCCGCAGCGTCTCGTTGGTGCTGCCGGTGACCTCCGACCCCGCGGCCGCGGGGCGGGGTGGGGAGGCCTTAGCTCCGGGCGGGCGGCGGCTGCTGCAGCGGGACCCGGGAGCGGGGCCCGGCGCCGCCGGGGCCGCGGGGCGATGTGAGTCGGGGCGCGGCGGGGCGGGGACGAGGCGGCTCCACCGAGGCCGCACCGCGCCGCGCCGCAGTCTCCGCTCGCTCCCGAGGAAGCCCAGGGCGGCGGGCGGCGGAGCCCCGGGGCTGGGGGCGGGGATCCAGGGACGACGCGCGGCCCCGACCTCCCCCATTCCTTCCCAGTGTCTGGAAATTCCCCTGACCACCCTGCAACCTAAACTGGCCTCCCATTCCGCAGCACCGCCCCCACCCCCACTTCCCGGACACACCTTCGCGTGTCCTGGAGCCCTCGGAACCCCCTCACTCCTGCGAATTCCCCTGCTAGACCCACAGAGCCACCATTCTCCCTGGATGTCCCCCAGTGTTTCCACCGCCCTGAAATTCCTCAGATCCTTCATACCCTTATTCCTTTTGCACCATGCTCAAATCCAAAACACTCGCTCACGTTTCCCGCAGCCCGCTCATATGTTTTGCGTGCCCACGGCCCCCTCTAACTCCCGCCCCCAGTCCACACCTATCCCAGACCAGACCCCCTCCTCCCCTCCCACCTCACGGACTGTCATGATGTGCCCTGATATCTTAAAGAGAAGAGAAGGGGTCAGGAAAAGGTGCAATGCCCCCCACCCCCCAGCTTACACCCTGTAGTTCTTGCCTTCACCCCCAGCTCTCTGTTGGTGGCTCAAGCCCAGTGTTTTCCCAGCCGCCTGGCAATAGGCTGTGACCCCTCCCGCAGTCTGCTTTCTCCTTCCAGAGAATAAGCCAGGCCGAGAGGGCGGGGGTCCTTTTACCTGGAGAGTTGTCCAAGGATGCGGAGCACAGGGGCCCTGGGCAATGACATTGTTGTTCCAGAGCAGGAGGGTGGCATGTCAAGGGTCCCGGCTTGTGGACTTGTCTACCTGAGGCCAGATCCCTGAAATTTGGTTTATTGTTAGCATTTATGTTAAAATTTTAGGACTTTCAGAGCTTGGAGAACAGAAAATTGATCAAGCTTCCAAATGTTAGATTGAAGGAGCCTGTCTTGGGAAAGGAAAATGTCGATTTTAATGATATTTGTCCTACATCCTGCCTCTAGAGATTATTTAAGCTAGAAGCTTTACAGATATTACACAGTGTACAGATGTTTCCCTTAAAAACTAAGGCCTTGGTGTGGGAGTTGGAGGTGTTGGGGGGGATTGACTTGGCAGTGTCTCTCAGATACTTGCTAGCAACAAAACAGATTCGAATGTTGCCTTCCTGAATCTTAAACTAGCTCTCTTTCCAACACATTATAGTGTCGTTTTGAGAAAGCTCTTTGTGGGGTTCAAGTTCTCTGCAAAGGTAAGGTGGTGGTTTTGGTGTTGGTTGTAACAGGATTCAGATGGGGTCTGAAGGCAACTTAAAAGGTCTTGGGCTGTCTCAGACTTCAGACTCATTGGTGCTCTGGGAGTCTCTCTCTCAGGGCCTCTGGGGCTTGGAATTAGTGGTCCCTTTGCCCTTGATCTCACTTTCTTCATTGGTTTTTCTGTTCCATTAGGACCTGGAACAGATATCCAGATGGGATGGACTAAAAGCGAGTCAGGTTCCTTAACAATTGGAGGTGAGGATGGAAGTTTTCCACTAACCTGTGGTCTCTGTCTCCTATGCTAGGTGAGCCAAGGTGTGTCCCAGAGGAATCCAGGTGACTTCTCTGCAGCCTGCTTGCCATGACGCCCCACCAAGAACAGGGGGAATAAAGTGGAGGTCTTTCCCCATGCCCCTCCCGTGGTCAGCTCCCCGATGGCCTGGGTGAGGTGAGAGCTGTGTATAGGAGCCACTTTGCAGGAGTATCCTAAGTTGGGAGAAATGGAGCATGCAGGTCAGGATTGATCAAGGCTTACACATTGAGCTGGCGTTCTAGAAGGATAATCTAATCTCACAGACTCATATCTTACAGCAAGTTGCAGCCCCTTAATTTCTAGACAGGATTGGCCCATGCGTTTGCTTGCTCCCTCAAGTGGTGTCCTTCCCATCCTAGGCACAGACCCAACTGTTGTGACATATAATCCAAGTGCCATAATCCTGGAGGGAAAAGCCAGATGGTAAGACCTCTAGTCTCCCCTTTGGACAAAGGGGAGCAAACTCAGCATTTATTTTTTCAGTGGAGAAATACCTAATCAGGATTAGCAACACTGTGGTCTGTTTTAAATGCTCAGTCTGCTAAATGTATCTTTCGACCATAAGGTAACACCTCATTTGAAGAGAACATCAAAGAGATAAATTGAGGTGGATGTTGGAATGGTAGTGAGGTAGGAAAAGAGAGAACTTGGATGAGATGGGATGGGCAAGGTGAGAAAGGAGGAAAAAGGAGAAGAGTGCAGGCCAGAGTGTCTGGGACGCCCAAGTTACAGTTTCTTTGCCGAACCTGGCTGAGGGCCCTGGACTGGTACCCAGCTCCTGATGACGTCACTGCTTCTGGGTCCCTACTTTTGTCCATGATGCTCCTCCTGCCCAGGCTTCCCTTCCCTTTCATTACATCAGCCAGGATCCTCCATACTTCTCAAGGTCCAGATTTCATGTGGCCTCTGCGGAGCTCTCTCCATCCCCCCGTCAGCATTAATCCTTCACACATCCTAACTTGAATTAAGTTTATCCACTGTGGCTCTGGCCCTGGACTGAGAGTGGGAACTCCTTGAGGGAGAGACTGTGGCATACAGTTCCTTGGACAGAATAGGTGATCACATCAAGGTGGTTCTGAGGTCCCCAGAGCAGGGCTTTTTGGAGCTGACCTTGATAGCTTCTTACCCCTTCTGCTTCTCCCTAGGGCGGGCTGGCTGCTCTGACACCATGGGGAGCTGCTGCAGCTGCCTGAACAGAGACAGCGTCCCAGACAACCACCCCACCAAGTTCAAGGTACCCACAGCCTGCTCCTCTCCCGAGTTCCCACCAGAGCCTCCTGGGCTCAGGCCCCGAGCTGTCGAGTTGCCTCAGCCACCCTGGAGAAGGCAGAATGACAGGCCAAGGCTGTGCGCTCCTGAAGACTCCTCCAGCTCAGGGCCTCTGAAGGGCCTGAGGACCAGGGGCCCAGGCCACTGCCATCTGTGCAGCTCTTGGTACTACCAAGAAGGAGGAAATGCCACAATAATGCAGCAAAAATGATGCTTTTAGAACATTCGCTCCTGTCACTGTGTCTTTGTAACTTTACATCTAACTTCTTTGGAGAAAGCAGCAAAAGTCTCTATTTGTGAGTTAATGTATATAAAGTATTTAGAACAGTGCTTAACACATGGTAAGCACTATATGAGGGTCTGCTGTTGGCTTTGGGAGGCTAGGGCCAGGACCAATGGACCTGCATACCCCTGGCCTTTGCCACCTCCCCCTTCCCTGTAGGGGGAGCCTCCTCCTCCCCCTGGGCTGTGGAGGCACGGGTTGCGCTTGCTCACCAGCAGAGGGAGCCCTCAGCAAGGCTCTGCAGTTGGGGAGGTGGTGGAGGCGGAGGTATTGGCTCTGCCTTGCGGTCGACTCTCCCAGGGTCTTCAGATTCTGAAACTTGTGATCAACCCCTTCCCGTGTTAACATCTAGTCCTTGGGTACTAAGCCATGGACTGGACTGTCCGAGGTCATCTCACCTTGGTCATCTAACCGTCTGACCTTGGAGGTCAACTAACCACCCCTCCCCTCACTGTCCAAATGACAGAACTGAGGCTTAGAGAACTGTCGTGGGTCAGTGGCACTGCTTGGCCCAGCCCGAGTAGTCACTTGGCGTTCAGTAGTGCTTGCGGTAGAATCAGGGAGCCCCTCGGTGCCCCCAGCTCTGGCCCTGCGTCGGCCTGCCTCCCTGTGGCTCAGGAACCCATCCACACACTTGTTGGACTCATCATTGATCCTCTGTCCCCTGCCCCCCAGGTGACAAATGTGGATGACGAGGGGGTGGAGCTGGGCTCCGGAGTGATGGAGCTGACGCAGAGCGAGCTGGTGCTGCACCTGCATCGTCGTGAGGCTGTCCGCTGGCCCTACCTCTGTCTGCGGCGCTATGGCTACGACTCCAACCTCTTCTCCTTTGAGAGTGGCCGCCGGTGTCAGACGGGCCAGGGTGAGTACCAGCCCTTGCCCCGTGCTGGGATAGGGGCTTGTGCGCCTGGGGCAGATACTAGGGCTGGAAGTCAGCTCACGGGACTGTGGGGAAGTCTCTTGACTGGGCAGGTATTGCTCAGAGGAGAGGGTCATAGCCAAGAGCACACAGCATGTTAATGCACAATAAGCGGACTCCCAGGCCAGTGCTCTTTCTGTTCGCTCATTGCAGCTCTGGTCTGGGTCCGTTTGTGGGCGTATTTGTTGCACAGCCCAGGGGAAACAGCCAGTGCTCCCAGGCCAGAGGCTGCCTGGGAAAGCAAGCGATTCCTCCTGCCTCTGTTACTCAGTTTCAAGGGTCTCTGTTGCCCCCTAAGTAGGAACAAACTTTCTTCTGCAGCCCCAAGTCACATACCCTGGACCCTGTGACTAATGAAAGGTCAGGCCGGAGGTTCTGGCTGCCTTGGGGCTGAGTGGCTTGGGAGTGGTAGGTTTGGGGAGGCAGGACTCTTGGGTCCCTAATGTACAGAGGAATCCTCAAGAGGTTCGTGTTTGTCCCCCGTCACCTGTGGGCAGTGGAGTGTGATATCTTCTCCCGTCCTCCCCAAACTCTCTGCAGCCAGAGGTCAGAGAGTGATGGGTTGTTCCATGAGGTCAAGGCTGGAGCCAGCCATGGCTCTTTGAAGGAGCGGCTGGTCTGGACTTATCTTTTAGGACTAGATCTAAGCTCTGCAGAAGGAGTCCCGCCCAGGATTGTGTTAAATGCAGTTGGGGGTTGTGACTGCAGAGATGGGATGACGGAGCTCCTCTGACGAGGCTGCCAACGCGACAGTGAGTCTCTGAGGCTGTGTTGGCTGGCGAGCATCTTACCCTGGGAGCTCAGGCGGCAGAGGCACTTAACACTGGCTAAGCTGAGAGAGGGGAGGAAGGGCCTTCCCTGCTCCGGGTGGTGTTTGATCCCCGAGGGGCTGCCCTGGGCCCCAGCACAGGCTTCTCCTAAAGCTGTGGGCTTTCTCAGCCTCTTCTAGCCCTCAACACATCTTGCCTGAATAGTCCTTCTTCTTCCCTTCTATCCTTCCTATCCCGTGCCTGCAAACCTCAGCTGTCCCGCACCCCAGCCTAGTTTATTTGTCTTTGTTGTGGCTCGACGCATGCACACACCCAACTAGCCTCCCCTCAGTCCTGGGCCCCACTGTTACAGAGGAATGCAGAATTCCACGCTGGCCCAACACCCCAAGGGCATCTTTAGATTCCCTGAGTCACGGGTGCTCAGCCCAGTCCTGCTGTCCCCGGGATTGTGAGTTGCCACAGTGGAGTCTGAGGGGCTGTAGGGCCAGCTGCATTAAGGAGCCACGCGATCGCCTTGATGTATTTGTCCGTCAGCTAGTGGCCCATCCGTTCTCCCTCTCTGCACCGGAGTTTAGGCTCCAGGAGGTCAGGGGCTCTACACGGTGGACACCTGCTCTCTGACCGGGCACTGGGCTAAGCACCCAGTGAATGAGCAGGAAACGGGACAGACCCTCCTGCCCTCACGATGCTCAGAGGCTGTTGGGCAGCACGCTGAGGGCTGGTGCCCTGGATGGAGCTTATTTTTCTGGGGAGCAAATAACCTGGGTGGTCAGAGGGAGCTGGGGGAGCGTGTGGAGTGGAGTGGTCACTCATCCACTGCTATCCTTTTCCACTTCGATTTTTACTTCTTTTCCCCTCACCCCTCATCCTTATCAAATGATTTAGCCTCAGAGGAATATAGCTGAAGTGTTAGATCTCAAGATGATGGTAATGAGTAGTAGGGGGCAAGGGGCCTTGGTCATGGCTCCTCCCATGGCTCTTGGGTTTTAGAGTGGCTGGGAAGAGTGCTGAGGATGAGGAGGGGCTCTCCGGCCCCCCGCAGGCCTGGGACTGGAGGTCAGGGACATTTCCTGAGCTTTGTGCAACTGTGCAGCCTCTCTGGTCCTTCCCTATTGGGCACAGGGTCAGAGGAGCCTCCTTTCTTCCTCTTCTTCTTCAGGGATATTTGCATTCAAGTGCTCCCGGGCCGAGGAAATCTTCAACCTCCTTCAGGATCTGATGCAGTGCAACAGCATCAATGTGATGGAAGAGCCAGTCATCATCACTCGCAACAGCCACCCGGCTGAGCTCGACCTCCCTCGGGCCCCCCAGCCGCCCACTGGTGAGGAGCCCCGCACCCTCGGTACCCAGTACACACGCGCCCACGCACACGTAAGCACAGGCCCAGGAAGCCCCAGCCTGGGAGGCGCGAGGCAGGCAGACAGGTGGGAGGATGGCTGGGTGAGCCAGCCTTCCAGGACACTCATCCGTCATCAGAGCCACTCTTGGGATGCGTAAGTCCTGGCCCGGGCCAATCAGGTGACTCAAGCTGAGGCTGGGGAGTCCTAGGCCTTGAATCGACTGATGGTCGGGGACCAGACAGGAAGACATAGGTTTCCATGGAAACGACAGTCTGGAGCTGTTTTGCTTCCTTCCTTCTGTCTCCTGGGTCATACCCACATACCTTTCCTGATGGCTGGTGCAGGCGTCTCTGCCCATGACTCTTTTCTGGAGAGGTTCCCACAGTTTCTGCTTGTTCATCCACGGAGTCTGCACTGAGCGCCTGCTGTTTGTGCACTCCATGGTCTGGCCCGTGGGGGCAGAAGAAATGGAAACACAGTCCCTGATTTCGAGGAGCTTCCCTCGAGCTTGCTAGCAGAGCTAGAATGAGGTGAAGGGACAGTCCGGTAATGACTAGGTATGCCTCGACTGTTTCAGATAAGGCTGTTGTGGGGGAGGTCGGGCTCAAGCTGAGCTCTGAGGGACAGGGCCGAGTTTGGAGAACAGAGAGGCATAAGATGATGGAGACTGCCGGTTCCCTGGGGGTGCCCAGGGAGCGTCTCCCCTCCCATTAGAGGAGTCCCAGGATGCCACACACATGGTCACAGGTGGTTTAAGGCCCCCTTATCTGGGCTTGTCTCTTCTGCGCCCAGCTCTAGGCTACACTGTCTCCAGCTTCTCCAACGGCTTCCCGGGCTGCCCGGGAGAGGGCCCGCGGTTCTCAGCGCCCCGGCGCCCCTCGACAAGTAGCCTGCGACACCCCTCGCTTGGGGAAGAGTCCACCCATGCCCTCATTGCCCCTGACGAACAGGTGAGCAGGCTGCTGCCCTGCCCTCCTCGTTGGGCTGGGTCGGATGGGGGGTCGGGACATGTGGTGTCTCCTCCCAGTAGGGATCATGGGAGGGAGGAAAATTGATAGGGTCCCTTCCTGTTGCCAGAAAGGGAGGCAGCTTCCCTGGAAGGTTTGGAGGACAAGGAAGAGGAGGAAACCCCAGCTCTTTTCCCTGTGCTTCTCATCTGTCATCCTAACCCTTCTGTTCTCTCCTTGCTCCCTGCCCTTGGACCTCCTGCTTCTTTGGACTCTTTCCCCTAGTCCCACACCTACGTCAACACGCCGACTGGTGAGGATGACCACCGCACGAGCCGGCACTGCCTGCAGCCCCTGCCTGAGGGTCGGGCACCCTTCCCTCCTCAGGCCCAGGGCCCCGATGCACGGGACCCGCAGGTGTTCTTGCAGCCAGGCCAGGTGAAGTTTGTGTTGGGCCCGACCCCTGCTCGGCGGCACATGATGAAGTGCCAGGGCCTCTGCCCCAGCCTGCATGACCACCCCCAGCACCACAACAACAATGAGGGCTCTTCCGAGTGCCCGGCCCAGCCCAAGTGCACCTATGAGAACGTCAGCGGGGGGCTGCGGCCAGGGGCCAGCTGGAGACTGAGCCCAGAGGAGCCGGGCTGGACTGGCCTTGCCCACCGCAGGGCCGCCCTGCTGCACTACGAGAACCTGCCCTCCCTGCCCCCTGTGTGGGAGAGCCAAGCCCAGCAGCTGGGGGAGGAGGCCGGGGATGATGGGGACTCGAGGGACGGGCTCACACCCTCCTCCAATGGCTTCCCTGATGGCGAGGAGGACGAGACCCCCCTGCAGAAGCCCACCAGCACCCGGGCTGCCCTCCGCAGCCACAGCAGCTTCCCTGTGCCACTGACCCGCCGCCGAGGCTCCCCGAGGGTCTTCAACTTTGATTTCCGCCGCCCAGGCCCTGAGCCCCCAAGGCAGCTCAACTACATCCAGGTGGAGCTGAAGGGCTGGGGCGGAGACCGTCCCAAGGGGCCCCAGAACCCCTCAGTCCCCCGAGCCCTTGTGCCCACCACCCACCCTGCCCGCAGCTCAGATTCCTATGCCGTGATTGACCTCAAAAAGACCGTGGCCATGTCCAACCTGCAGAGGGCTCTGCCCCGAGATGATGGCACCGCTAGGAAGACCCGGCACAACAGCACCGACCTGCCTCTGTAGGGACTTCCCTCCGCCCCGCCACGGTCCAGCCTCCGCCTCACGTTCCGTCCTCTGAACCCACACTCCCAGGGTTCAAGGTCGCTTCACAGAAGGGCATTGAGGTGGGACCAGATGCTTCCCCGTGCTGGTCGGAGTCCCTAAAGATATCAGCCACTGAGTGTCCTGGTCTCCAAGTTGGGGAGAGAAGAGGGTGACCAGGCAAGGAGGGAGCCACGATGGAAACTGTGAAGGGTCCCTGTGATTGCATTTAGCACCCTCCCGTTATGTCCATTTGTCTTGTCTGCCGTCTGCGTGTTTTTTTTGGTTGAAATTTTGGAACATTTTGTACCTGTTGATTTTATTTATCAGTTTATTTTTCTATTTATTGTTTTAAATGTAATTTAACATATTTATTATTAATATAATTATTTTTAAATTCTGGCTTGGTGGATCATGTCAAAGTCTTGGGGAGTCTTTTCTGGCATGGTTCTGGGGGCGCGTAGGGGAGGCCCAAGAGAGGGAGGGGCTTCATTCCGGGAAGTCTGGTGTGGTTGTGGTTTTGGGGACAAGTCTTTTTCTTTTTCTTTCTCCATTTCTTTTTCTCCTCCAAGAAGTCCTGGCCCACAACTTAAAGTTGTCAGAGGTGGATGCTCTATCAGAGGAAAGTGGCAGACAGGACAGCTAGAGTCCTAGATGCAGAGGGGAGATCTGTAATGAGATAAAACCCTGGCCCTCTGAGACTGGCAATGGGCGGGGGGATGGTGGGGACGTGCTGGACCAGATTCACCTTCTCTAGAACCACTCACTCATTCTCCTTTCTGCCACCAGGCCGGGTCTCAATGGGTGCCACTCTCCTTTAACACCTTGGCCCAAAGTGGACCCTCGATCCTCCCTTGGCGTCCCCAGCAGGGCTAGGTCAAGGCTAGAACTTTTAAACAGGACTTTACAAAAAGCCCAAGAATAGCAAAACATGGTGTAACGTGACTAAATAATCTGGCTTGCAAAGTATGAATTCCCCAGAGAAATGCTCCCCAGGAATGGACTCTTGGGGCTAGCACAGGGGTAGGGCCCTCACAGAGCCACCACAGCTGCACACCTGCCTGGAAGTCCCGGCTCTGCGCAGGGCCGCACATGCCACCCACTCATGCTGTTGCAGGAGCACCCTCGCCCTGTCCTGAGGCGGCCTCTTTCCTCTCCCTCCTCTCGCCGGCCTCCCTGCCTCCAAGACTCCATTTCTATGTCAACCCCATAAATGGTTAATCTAAAGGAAATCTAATGTCTATGATGTGCCACTCAGGGCCCAGGTGAGGAGCGGGAGCAGGGTTTGTTCAAGACTTAGGGACAAGCCTTCTTGTCTTGGTCACTGTTTGTACCCCAGTTCCCTGCGCTGTGGAGCGAGGAGACCTGTCCTCCCAGCAGGGAAACGGGCCTGGGCGGGGCCCCCCTGCTTCCCTCTCCTCCTGCTGTCCAGAGCACCACTGCCTGGACCTTAGTTCTGGGAGGGCCCCTTCCTGGGTGGGGATTGGACTGACCAGCTTCCAGAACCCCCGACCCTGGGTGTCACTGTCCATGAAAGGAGTGAGGAGGACTGGCCAAAAGAGGACGTGAGAGGCCCTTCACTTGGGGCCCTGCAGGGCCCCAGGGGGCAGCTGCTATAGCCCGAGAGCTGGCAGCAAACCCTTCTCTCCCTGACATCCTGATCTCTGGGCCAGAGCGATCGCCCGCCGCAGGCTGGATTCATGGCGCGTGGTCCCACGCAGCAGTGGGGAGACGCCATCCTCTCTGCAGCTCACCCAGGCAGCTCAATCCGGCTTTCTCCATGGCCTCCCACACAACTGCTCCTCTTTGTGGCCCCCACAGTCAGGAGTGGTGGTCTCTCCAAGAAGGAGAGCCAAGAAGGGGGGCAGGTATGTGCATGCCGGGACAAGGCCTTGGGGTCCTGGCCATGCTGGTGACTCACGGGTCTGCTCAGGCTTGTGGACACTGTCATGGGGGAGCCAGAGGCTTGGCTTGAGTCAAGAGACTGGGCTCTGGTCCTGATTCAGCTATTATCTCTGCTCTCGTGAGCATCTGGTTACCCCAAAGGGGCCGCGGTTTTTGCACCCGGAAAACAGGAGCTGGTTGTCAGAAGTGGTCAATGAGATGATGAACATGACACCACTTTGGAAAGTAGACAGGCCCGGGCAAACTGCGTTAACAACCCAACTGTTTCCGAGGGAAAAAAACACTGCAAGTCACAGCTCTTCAGCCCCGGAGACCTCAGGCTTATTGCTGACCAAGACGAGCGGGGCAGTTAACCTCACTCTCTGGGCTCGCCAGATCCCGGTCAGACCCCTGGGGTTCTCCCAGAGCAGGTCGTAATCGCTTCAGGACACATATTTGTGGGGCATGGGGGGTCCAGGAGACGTGTCCCAGGAATTGTCTTCCAGCAAGCGTGGCCACCAACCATCCCTGTCCCCTTGCCAGGTCACTGCCTCGGACCTGCGAGGTCTACTGCAGGGGTTTTCCTCTGGCTGGGGTGTGAGTGGACAGCTTTCCTGGCGGGAAGGGGCGGGTGGGAGTGAGGCCCAGGAGGGCAGCTACAGCCGCTGCGTTCAAGCCTGCCCCGCCGCCATCAGGGCGTGGCGTGCAAATGGAATCCGTTTCCATCGCCATCATCGTCCAAAGATCATCACCAACATCAGTGAATGTTTGCTGAGTGCTCAGTTCTCCTCTTTAGAAACAGGCCCTACCCACCCCCTGGGCAGCCTTCAGGAAAGGACAGGAGCCAGCATCCTGTCCAGGAGTGACATTTCAGGTCAGACCAGGAGGGGCCCTCCCCAAGCCCACCCTGGGTAATAATAGCACTTTACGATAGTATAAACACAGTCGGCTTTCCACAGGGCCTTGCAGACCATTTATCTCTCTCAGGCTCATGGGGCTGGATTGTTATCACCGCTGTGCAGAGGAGGAAGCAGGCCAGGAGGTGAAGTGACTTGCCTCAGGCCGTGAAGCTAATTAGCAGCCTGAGCTGGGGCCGCCTGCCAGTCGTGTGTCCTTCCCCACCAATGCTCCCGACCTGGCCTGAAGGGGCTTTATTGTCTCAGGTGGGCTCCGGAAAGAACCCGCTGGGTGCTCCCCACTACATGAGTGGGCCAAGTGTCAGCACGAGCCCATTCTAGTGCTCCCACTCAGGAATCCTTTTGAATTCCAAGCCAGGGCCTTGCCTGGTTCACAAAAAGGTGAACCTGCTTCCCCCGAGGGCTGACCCGCCGCCCACCCGCCGCCCCTGCCCTCTCTACTCATCTGATGGCCCGGAAAGGCTCCCTTTATGTGGACGAGTGTGCAGGAAGAAGGCTGGCCTCACCTGCCCCTGCCGCCCTCTCCTGACGGCCTCCCAGCCTCCCAGGAGGCCAGGCCCTTCCTGAGCTCTGGGGTGCTCTCTGGCCGCTCCCTTAAAGGGGAGTCAGACTCACAGGTGGAGGGGGGTTTATAATGAGGGACCCCTGGGATACCAGAACGGTCGTGGGAGACTGAGGTGGAGCGAGAGCTGAGGCAGGGGTGAGAGGAGCTGTGCGGGCCTCAGGGCTCTGTGTCACAGAATCACAGAGTCCAGGATAGAATCTCCCAAGTCAGCCGAGCTAGGGCCCGTCCAGGGATCCCTTCGACAGGATTCCTGGACATGTTTATCAGGTTTCTGCTCATACACTTCCCGGGATGAGGAGCTCACTATCTCCCAAGTCCTCCCTCCACTCGGGTCTTATGAGGTCCCTAAACTGCCTCTTATTGGATCCTGATTCTGCTCCCTGATCCAAACACGGCTAAGTCTGGCCTCTCTGCCAACGGTGCTGAACTTTGAAACTTGGCTTCGCCACTTACAGCTTAACCTCTTAGTGCTTCCGTTTTCTCATCTGCGACATAGGGATAGTTCACAGGCCCTCCGTCATGAGCTCGTTGTGAGGATCAAATAAGAGAATGCCTGCCCGGCATGAACCGTGGCAGCTGGCCCACAGTGAGTGCTCAGCAAATGGCAGGAATTTTCACCTGAACATGGTTATTTCTGGCATAGCCAGAAAGGTGTTCCCGCTCTGTGCTCCAGTTTGACCCAGAACTCAGTGTAGTACCCGGGCCTGACCCTCACCTTCCTTCGGCCCAACACCTCCCTTGTTCTAGATGTTATACTCCTGTTAATGCAGCCCAAGTGAGTATTCACGTCGCTGTCCCTTTTGGCTCTTGGGACCTCAGAGCTGGCCCGGAACCACAAGGTCTTTCCATATAAATATCTGAGAATTCTTCACCCCTCAATTCCCATCTGAATTGAAGTCCTTGGCTCATTAAATCAAAGTCCAAACTGTCCATTCATTCAGTGACATTTCTTGTTGTCAGTCTGCGTCTGTCCTGGCGTTTAGGGGCACCAGCTCTCGCCGTAAACCTGGAGGTGACCGGAGAGCAGAGATGGGGGCTGGGAGCGTCAGAGAGAAGGGTCTGAGAGAAGGCTGTCCATGGGGGGCGGATCATGAGGGTTTGCTGCGGCGTCTGGGGCCCTCAGCTTAGCTCCTCTGGAAGCTTCACTCTGCCTGCCTGTGGTTGTAGGAAGCTGCCCTGCCACTTGCCTTGCTCACCAGGTGGACCCCTCTCCTGGCCTCTCTGGGCCCCCTTTTTCTGGGGATGCACGTTCCTGCCCCACAGCCGCTGTGGATACCTGCCGAGTGGGGCTGGGGACGTCAGGCGTGTGACAGCATCGCGCGTGCTCCCCGTGTAGGTTGTCATTATGCTTGTTCCTAAGGGATTATTAATATAATGACTGAGTTAATGAGCAGTGTGTTGAGGGGGGCAGCTCCACCCCACCTGGTGCCCGCTGATTGACACTGATGGGGGGTTTCCTCAGCCACCCTTCTCCCTCTGGTCTGCTCCTTTAGCTGCTGTGGTATGGCCCCTAGGGGGTGGTCCTCCCTGTCGCCTCCCTCCACCTGTCCCCTGTAGCCTGGCCTGGTTCCCCTCCGGGAAGAGGGTCCCAGAAAGAGTGTGGCCGGGACAAGGTGTGGGGGTGAGGAGATGGGGAACTGGGGGCTCTGACTCTGGGGAAAAGCAATGTAAATGCAATGAAACCTCTCATCTTGCCCGGGTACTGCCTGGGCTGGGAGAGTGGGCCGCCGAGTCCGCGGACAGCTGGGGAGATGGGAGCAGCGATGGAAGGAGGGCTGGAAGGCCGGGGCAGAGTTTCCAGGTGTTTTGAGGCTCCCCACCTCTCTGGCCCAAATGGACAGTTGCTGGCCTCTTTCCTTATTGAGCTCCTTTCCTCCCGGGATTAAAGGGTCTGAGGAATCTACCAATGTATTGATATCTTAGGGTTGGGGTCAGGGGCACAATGTGCAGTCGTAATAATATGGTGGCCTTGATTTCCTAAGCAAATGT